ACACACACACACACAGAGGGGGAAGGAGAGAGGCAAGCAGACCGGGGCTCAATCTCACAACCCTGAGATCATGACCTGAGCAGAAACCAAGAGTTGGAGGCTTAATCAAATGAGCCACCCAGGTGTTCCTCTGCTGTTGCTCTGTATTTACATACTAAACCGCTGGTTACTGTTGTAACGACAATGTATCATGTACCTGTTACTGCTGGTATTCACAGTTGGTAACTAAGTCTTCTTACTTCACCATGTCTTTTCTTCCCAAGATATTGGATTTTTTAAAAAATTTGTCCTACGGAGATATAATTTGCCTACAGTGAGATACAGTTTGGTGTTGACAAATGCATACACCCAAGTAACCAACACTCCAACCAAGATATAAAACATTTCCACCACCCCAGAAAATTTTCTCATGTCCTTTCCCAGTGAATCCCACCTCCTGGTCTGATTTCTTCACCACGGATGAGCTTTGCCTGTTCTAAGACTTCATCTGATGTAATTATTCAGTACGCACTCTGTAGAGAACAAGATGGAGTCACTCATGTCAAGCAGGGGCCTGTGTCAAGCAGGGGACGCAAGCAGTGAAAGGTACTGTAGCCACGAGGTATCCCTGGTACCAGCGTCAGCTGACATCCCAGAACTGATAATGAGTAGAACCAGAGGAGGTCTTCAGGGGCTGGAGACTGATTAAATCCCTTTAAAAAGGGGAGGAGTTTTGCAGTAAGCTGTCAGGCTCTTCAGACATGACCTCTTTATGTTTGTCCACTTGGAAAAGGCAGCTGCCACGGAAGGCTCTGATCTCCTTCATTGCTTGAACATAATAAGCAGTGAGTGCCGAGAGCTGACCCAGCTGGGACTGGGGCCTTTATCTCAGCTGTGCGCCCGCAGACTGACTTCAGAGTTTGGGTCCTTAACTTCCTGCACCCCTCTGTTATCTTGTTTGTTGTGTGGCTTGTCTTATGTTCTGCTCTGTGTGCTGTGTAAGAAGCCAAGTTTAATCACATGGTGAGATGTCATTGAGTTTGGAATCCTGCACCTGTTTTATAATTATGTCAACCTTGCTTTATGACTGAATAAAACAGACAACTGTAGAAAGACACAACTCATGTGTGCACCTTCATGGTGTGCTCATGACACATTCTTTCATGTCTGGATTTCTCATTCAGCATAATGTTTTTCGAGAAACATCATGGAGTGTATCATAACTTATCCCTTTTCTCTTGCTGAGTAGTAGTCTTTTATAAATACACCACAGTATCCTTCTTTCTTTTGTTGAAGGACACCTGGACCATTTCCAGTTTGGGCATTAAATACAAAAAGTTTGTTCCAGTCCTGGTACCACTTTATCTGAACAAAAAGAAGTTTTGGGAATTGAGGGGAGGGGGGGTAAGGAGATGGGTATTAAGGAGGGCACGTGTTGCAATGAGGACTTGGTGTTATACACAATGAATAATTGCGTATAACAATTGCGTATGAGTTTTGTTATTTTTGAGATTCTGCTTTCCATTGATATTTAGATTTTTCAGGGACCTCCCTCCTTCTATCCCTTTGCAGGAAAATCATAGCATGTACATGCAGCTGGAGAGGAATGAAGTAGGTACCATTGAAGACTGGCAAGTTTATTGGTTCATATAAGGCATAAAGGCTGAATACAGAAAACAAGTTAACATTCTGTCCAGTCTCACAATCAAATTTTGGAAAGGTAGGAAAACCTGCAAAGGGTGATAAAAGGGCAGTAAGAGTACCAACCTATAGAGTTTAAAGCATTATTAGGGCCTCAATTATAATTCTTATAACTATAGCTTGTGCTTACCAAGCTTTCAGTAAATGCTGGACATTGTGCTAATTATTTTGTCTAATTCTTGTGCTTGAGGTCAGTACATTTATTATCCCAATTTCATGTAGAGCACATGGATGCTCAGAAAGCCCAGAAAGAAGTCCATTTATGCTATACATAGAACACACTCACATGAGTATATATGAAGTACATCATAGAAACTTGAAATGAAGTGGTTAATTTTTAAGTACCTTGTGGAGTTAGGCAACTAAATAGTATAAAGAGCTTTTCTACTCTCTCTTTTCATTTGCATTTTGCAAACTCTTCTTAAACCATAATCTCTCTCTGTTCATGCTCACTGGCTCTGGATGGGTGTAGTGTGTGGCATTTACTTCCCCGGGGAATTACAAACCAACTGGGCAATTGTAGTTTCACAAGTTGAGTAATTTAACACCACTCCTGGAAACAAAATAGTAAGTACTTAGGTATTTTAAGATCTACTGTTACCAACACTTCTGACCAAAATTCATGTAAAGCAAAAGAATTTCAGTGGGAAAGCGACTGGTGTAAAATTATCCTTGGGGATTCAATAAAAAATGATTCTTTTTTCCTCCATGCTCTCCTGTCTTCCTTCCCCTTGCTCCCTACCCCAAAGATCTTTTAGTATTCTCTTCCCTAACTGTTACTGACTATATTTTATTCACCCATTTAAAATAGGAAGAGTGGGGCAGAAAGTATTCCTTTTTCTGGCAAGAAAGCCCTGAATATAATTTGGGGGAAATTTAACCCTAAGAAGCACGGAATGAGCTATGTGGTTTGATGTTTAAGATAGTTTATCCGTGGGGGGCGCCTGGGTGGCTCAGTTGGTTAAGCGACTGCCTCTGGCTCAGGTCATGATCCTGGAGTCCCGGGATCGAGTCCCGCATCGGGCTCCCTGCTCAGTGGGGAGCCTGCTTCTCCCTCTGACCCTCCCCCCTCTCGTGCTCTCTCTCTCTCTCTTCTTCTCTCTCTCAAATAAATAAATAAAATCTTAAAAAAAATAAAACAAAATAAAATAGTTTGTCCGGGGGCACCTGGCTGACTCAGTTGGTAAAGCATGCAGCTCTTGACTTTGGGGTTGTAAGTTTGAGCCCCATGTTGGTTGTAGAGATTACTTAGAAATAAAATCTTTTTAAAAAATTTTTAAAAAGGTTTATCCATGGTGTTATGAACAATTAGCTTCCTGTATTAGTTTGTGAGGGCTGCCATAACAAAGTGCTACACACTGGGTATTTAAACCGCAGAAACCTATTGTCTCCCAGTTCTGGAGGCTAGGTGTCCAAGATCAAGGTGTTGACAGGGTTGACCTCTTTTGAGGCCTCTCTTTTGGACTTCAGACAGCCATCTTCTTCCCAGGTTTTCACGTGGTCTTCCCCCTGTGTCCATGTCCTAATCTCCTCTTTGCAAATGACACCAGTCATATTGGATTAGGGTCTGCTCATAACGACCTCATTTTACCTTAATTACCTCTTTAAAACCCCTATCTCAAATACAGTCACATTCTGAGGTGCTGGAGTTTAGGACTTCAATATATGAATTTTGAGAAAACACAATTCAGCCCACAACACTTCCTATCTGCTTCATAGAACTGTTAACCTAATAAAATTAGGGAATATTTAGGAAAATGCTATACATGCAATTATGTCCTGCACAACAGGGTGTTTGTTAGGGTTGTTACATTAGTCACATTTCAACTATTTTAAAATCATTTGTGAACTTAAGTAGGTTGTATGGGAAGATGTTAGCAGCTACTATTTTAGAGAGCAAGAGTACAAAGAGAATCAGGACATGTTGAAGATCATATCTACAAGCAAGTAGTTTAATTTTTAGTAATTCTCTAAATTCAAAAAAATCAGAATACTAACAATGGGTAATTATAGAGCATATGAGGTATGTTTTTTGTTGTTGTTAAGTTTAAAATAACTTATGAAGAGCATGACAAAAATAGTATTCGAACAGAGTGGACTTGAAATTTAGCATATTTTGCTGACATCACTTGCCTATAGAAAAATTAGAATGGATCACAGAATGAATAGAGAGGACTCACTATGCTTTGGTCTCATTTTTATAAGTACAGCGTGGTGTTCAAACTTTTAGTGTGGGGGGAATAATTAAAAGGATCTGAAATTGGGAAAAGAACAGATTGTTCGTTATGATCAATTAAATTGATTCGTAGAAACTGACCTTTCAGTAGATAAAAAGTCATCTGATATCGACAATTCTAGGTGTCAACTTAACATTAAAGAGAAATCAGAGGATTTAACCTATAGGAGAAGGAAGGGAAAGCTCCTAGGAGCCATTATCACGGAAGATTAAAGGACTTTGTCTTAAACGCATTATACAATTCACACTTAATATCTCCATCTCAGCATTTCGGGGTTTGGTCTCATACCAATAATAATATTGTCATCTCTCTTCACCCGATTAATTTTCTTTTTATATTATTAGCTACTTTAATCTTCCAAGTCTATTCTTTTTTTTATCTGTTCCTGGATTAGGCTTGCTGCTTTACCCGGGCTACATGCTGAAATAAACGCTGAGCTTTCACTCTCCGCATAAAGTTTTCCTGCCAGTGGCAAATTCTGAGAGCTTTAGTCCCCCACCCTACCCCCGCCCATCCTTCCCGCAGCCTTAAGCCTCCTGCACCTGCAAATTCTGCACTTTGCTCTCCCATCGTCCTCCTGTCTCTGAGTGGAAGAAACGGTCCCTTCTTCCTCTGAATCCGGGTTTAGATAAAGCAGCAACTCCGTCTTTTTGCTACCGAGGTGGGCGCGGGGACCCTTAGGGACGAGGTGCTGCTGTTGAGGCTGAGTCATGTCGGCGGCCTGTTCATCAGGCACAGTTTATACACTCAAATGACACACGGGTAACACGAGGATATCCAAGCCACACGAGCCAATCGGAACGCAAGCATCTTTGTGTCAGGGGCAGTGACTGCCATGCCCAACCCGGAGGAAAGGCGCAACAGGACTTTGGGGTCCCTCTTTCAGATCGCGCGCCCCGCCTCCCAGAGGACCGCTTCTTCCACGGGGCGAGCGCGTCCCCGTTTCTGCTCGGGCGTAGCTGATTGGAGGCGGAGGGGGAGGTGGAGAGAATGCGGTGGGCGCAGCCAATCCGGGGCGCCCTCCGCCGCTCTTCTTCCCGCCCCCCCGCCTTGCAGCGCAGTTAGCCGCCGGCGTCCGGGGAGCCGGCACCACCGTCAGCTCGCGGTCTCCAAGGGTCCGCCCGAGGAGGCCGAGGCTGCGGACGCCGGCGCACAGGCCATGGCCTCCCCCGGGCTGCCAGAGCCTCCCGCCGAGGGCTCGCCCTGGCCTCTGCGCCTGCTGCGCGCGCCTCCCGGGCTGCTGCGGCTGGACCCCACCGGCGGCGCGCTGTTGCTGCTCAGCCTCGCGGCGCTGCTCGGCTGGCGGTGGTGGCACCGGGCGCGGGGCATCCCCCCTGGGCCCACGCCCTGGCCCGTGGTTGGCAACTTCGGCTTCGTGCTGCTTCCTCGGTTCCTCCGACGGAAGAGCTGGCTGCACCGCCGGGAGAGGGCCGCGGGAATGGAGCCCTCGGCCCTGGACCCACGGGTGCTTCTGGCCGACCTCGCCCGCGTGTACGGCAACGTCTTCAGCTTCTTCATCGGCCACTACCTGGTGGTGGTCCTCAGCGACTTCCACAGCGTGCGCGAGGCGCTGGTGCAGCAGGCCGAGATCTTTAGCGACCGCCCGCGGGTGCCGCTCGTCTCCCTCGTAACCAAGGAGAAGGGTGAGCGGGAGCCTTGGGGGTCGCGGGTCGCGTGAACGCGCGATGCGGCGCCTCCTGCGTCCTTTCCAGCCCGCGCACCTAGCCCACTTGCATCCGGCCCCGAAGTGGGAGGGTGGCGGCGACGCGTCCCTTTAACCGGGCCTTTAAGATCGCTTCGAGCCGCTGGATGGGTGACTCGTTCATAGTCCAAGATCACAAGTAGGAAACCCACAGGAAAGCTGAGGAAGGGTAATGGGGACAGGGGTGGGGGTGGGAGACAATGTGTGAAAACCAGGCTCTACCTTTCCAGGGATATTCCGTCCTTCCCAGAACAAGGCCTCGTTCTCAAGGCTGTGTCTTCAGGGGGAAACTTTGGCCGTGTTAGAAGGAGGCAGGGATATTCTTTACACCTTCTGGGTTCTGAGTGAGAGTTTAAGAAGATATTTTCCATAAGATAAAAGGTCCAGAAAACACGTTTAGGAGCCTATTGGCAAACCTCTCTTAGGGGGTTTATAGCCTCTGATTTCTGCTTCTGGAAATCCAAGTTGGGCAGTTTTGAAGGTTGGGAAACATATTATCCACTGCAATAAAAGATCACTTTTACCCTTTCCCTAACTCCACCCCCCCCCCTTTGTTTATCAGTCTTACCCTACGTCTTACTGGCTGGTCTAGAACCTAGACTTTTTTGTCCGAGTCAGATGTTAATTTAATTGTCTTTCATCAGTCAGGTGTTAAATTTAAATGTCTTTACCTCGGGAAGCTTTTTCTTATTTCCTCTCCAACTTAGGCTCCCTTTTGGAACCAATTTCTATGCACAATTGCTTTTCCTTTACTGCACTTAACAAAACTGGGGCTGGATAATTTTGTAACTGGATGTGGGTCTTCACCACTAGACGGGCATCTAGGAGAATGTGGAATGTGGCATAAAGACATCCAGGCTTTTTAGAATCTGATTAAGCCAGAATTTTGCATCGGGATTTTAAATGAATAGTAATGATAATCATAATGTTTTGAATGTCCCACAGAAAAACAAATGTCACCGTTCATAATTCACCATTTCCCTGCCTTCACATATCGCTGCTACTTCTATCTAGAATTTTCTTCCCATCTCATGGCTGCCTGGAGAACTGTTTGCTTTTCTTTTCTCTTCTCTCCCCCTTTTTTTTTTTAAGATTTTATTTATTTGACAGAGAGAGACACAGAGAGAGAGAGAGAACACAAGCAGGGGGAGTGGGGTAGGGAGAAACAGGCTTCCCGCCGAGCAGGGAGCCCGATGCGGGGCTCGATCCCAGGACCGTGGGACCATGACCTGAGCCGAAGGCAGACGCCCAGTGACTGAGCCACCCAGGCGCCCCTTTTTTCTCTCCCTTTTCATAAAAAAAAAAAAAATTGTGGTGAGATACACATAACATAAAATTTGCCAACTTAACCATTCTTAAGTTCGGTGACATTAGGTCATTCACATTGTTGTGAAACCATTACAGCCTTCTGCAGAACACTCTTTCTCTTGGAAAACTGAAAGGTTGTACCTGTTAAACATTAAAAAACTCCCTCCTTGGGGGCACATGGCTGGCTCCGTTGGTAGAGCATTCAACTTTAGATCTTGGGGTAATGAGTTCAGGCCCCATGTTGGGGGTAGAGATTACTTAAACAAAAGCAAACAAAATCCCCTCCTTCCTCTCTCTACCCCCTGGCAACCACTGTTCTGTTTTCTGCCTCCACGAATGTGACTGTTCTAGGTACTTAATACAAGTGGTATACAATATTTGTCCTTTTGTGACTGACATATTTCACTTAGCATCATGTTTTAAGGTTCTTCCATGTTGTAGCTTGTGTGAGAATTGCCTGTCGTTTTAAGTCTGCATACTGTTCTGGTCAACGTCCATTAGACGTTTTATTTATCCTTTTATGCCCCTGATGGAATTTGGGGACTTACACCTTTTAGCTGTAATGCTAAATTACATGCTGCTAGGAACATGGCACACATCCATTCAAGTCCCTCCTTTCAGTTCTTCTGGGTAAAAACCCAGAAATGGAATTGCTTGATCATATGGCAGTTCTACATTTAATTTGTTGGGTAACCGCCCTACTGTTCTCCGTGGAGGCTGCGCCATCTTACATCCCCTGGTGGCAGTGAACAAGGTTCCAGTCTGCCCTCATCCTCACCCACACTTGTTATTTTCTGTCTTTTCACACCTGCTTGAATGTCACCTCTTTGAGAATGTGTTCCCTGACCTACGTCTCTACTCCACCACGGAGAGGTGAGCTACCCTTTCTCCATGATAGCACTGTTTTCATTTTAAACTCCACTCCACTCCCAACCCCTGCCAGTCGGTTAGCACACCTCTTCACTTCCTCCTGCAGATCTGCAGTTCTGCATCCATCCACTTTTTTCCATCTCCATTGTCAGCACCCTCAATCAGTACCATCATTTTTCATGATACTTGAAGCCTCTTAACTAGCCTGCTTGCTTGCACTCTAGTTTTTTATCCACACGGCAACCAAAGGGATCTCTCTCTCTCTCTCTTTTTTTAGATTTTATTTATTTATTAGAGAGAGGGAACACAAGCAGGGGGAGTGGGAGAGGGAGAAGCAGGCCTCCCGCTGAGCAGGGAGCCCGATGTGGGGCTCGATCCCAGGACTCCGGGATCATGACTTGAGCCGAACGCTTAACAACTGAGCCACCCAGGTGCCCCAGGGATCTCTTTTTAAAAACCGTGAATCAAACCGTGTTGCTCCCCAGCTGAAATCAGCTTTCTCCAACTCCATCCTTGACTGACTGTGCCCCGAACGACCGGGTCCCTGTCTGCCTTTCTGACTCTAGCTCTTTTCATTCTGCCTTTACTTGTACATTTCAACCTGCCCTAGAAAAATTAAGCAGATTCCTGCCAAACTTGTGACTGTTTCAGTCTGCTGGGTTTGTTGTCGTTGGACATGGAGTAACTTTTCACTTGACTGACTCCTTATCCTCTCTCAGGCCAATTGTCACCTTTGAGTCCTATTTTAGACACTGCCCAATATCACAACTTATTTTATCTCATTCGTATTTCACTCATTAAACACCTTGAAAATATTTAGGTTACTACCAGCCCCACCTACTAATGGAATATAAACTCTGCGAGGGCTAAGATTTGGTTCTTCATGTGAACAACTGCTTCCCCACTTATTGGTACAAGTAGGTATCAAGAAATGAATGAATATGTGCATAACAAGCATCTGTTGATGCACTTACCACATTATATTGTAAATTTTTTTGCAAGTCTGTCTTTTCCTCTGGATTTTTTTTTTTAAGGTATGAGTTAGATTTTCTTCTTTGAGGTCCTTCTTGGTGGGTTTGTGGTTTGCTCAAAAATCTGTAACAGTTTCTAAATATCAGTTGGATCACAACTTATTATTAGATCCTTTATGTAGGAAAGGACTGGGAACTGGGGGTAACTTGGTGTTTCAGCATCTCACAACATTCATTTCCCCAGGAGACAGTTAGGATTTTTTAGGTGATACTGCTCTGGTAATTCTAATGGATGTGTGTTGGGTCATGTGCTGTGAGTTGAGAAAAATATTGTGGCTGGTGAAGGTGAAGGCTGAATCTCACAACCCTGAGATCATGACCTGAGCTGAAATCAAGAGTTGGATGCTTAACCGACTGAGCCACCCAGGTGCCTCAAAAGTATCTTTCCACTTCCGGTTTTTGTTAATTGATTTATCTATTTCCTTATTGACAGAAATTAGATCCTTTCTAATTTTAGAAGATTACTAGAGGCTTCGAACAAGAGTGAAAGCAAGCTGCAGAGCCATAAAAATGGAAAGTAAAAGGGAAATTGGAAGAAGTTTAAGAGTAGGGTATAGACCAGTCAATATCATCTACTTCAAAGGGGGAAAAGATGCAAAATGAAATTAGGAATTGAAGGTAGAAAATGAAAATTCATCTGGGGAATTTAAAAATGAATGAGGAGGGGCGCCTGGGTGGCTCAGTCAGTTAAGCGGCTGCCTTCAGCTCAGGTCATGATTCCGGGGTCCTGGGATGAGTCCCGCATCGCACTGGGCTCCTCGCTCAGCAGGGAGCCTGCTTCTCCCCTGCCTGCCATTCCCCCTGCTTGTGCTTGCTCTCTGTCTCTCTCTCTCGCTCTCTCTGTGTCAAATAAATAAAATCTTTTAAAAAAGTAAAAATAAAAATGAATGAGGAAAGCAGGGTAACCAAATTTTGTAGTAAGTGCAGTAAAATAGGTATTTGAAATAGTCGTGTACTCATATCAAGAAGGCCTGAATTCCCACTAAGAGGAACACTTGTATGTCCCGGTGAAAAGAAAGGACAAATATAATCAGTGGATGGATAGCACCTTCTCTGCTTCAGGGGAAAGAAAATGTATGTGTGATAAATGTAAATTGCATCAGATTTAATGTATTTAAGTATTTTTACTTTACTGTATGTTCATTACTGTAAAACATAAAACATGGAAAAGGAAAAAAGAATTCCTTTCCATTTTTTTCAAAAAGAATTGAAAATCATCTGTGATCACTGTTATTTTGAGATGGCCATTACTGACATTTTTATGTATTGCCTCTGTTTTAGCCTATCTGAGTTGCTTTAACAGAGTACCATAGGCTGGGTGGCTTATAAACAGCAATTTATTTCTTACAGTTCTGGAGGCTGGGAAATGAAAGATCAAGGCCCCAGCAGACTCAGTGTCTTGTGGGGGCCTGCTTCCTAGTTCCCAGATGGCCATGTGTGACCTCGCGTGGTGGGGGGGAGGGCAAGGGAGCTCTCTGGGCCTCTTTTATAAGGGCACTGATGTCATTCATGAGGGCTCCACCTTCATGACCTAAATCACCTCCCAAAGACCTCACTTCAAATACCATCACACTGGGCATTAGGATTTAACATATGAATTTGGAGGGGACACAAGCATTCAGCCTGTGGCAAGCTTCCAGTATTTTTTCTATTTGTACATGTATTTTTTTTTTCCTTTTTTAAAACTGTAGATTCAGTTAGCCAACATATGGTACATCATTAGTTTCAGGTG